TCTCTCTTCCCCTTCCCTCTAACCCCCCCCCCCCCCCTCCCTCTTTCCCCCTCTTTATTTCTCTCTCTCCCCCCCTCCCTGTCTTTCTTCCTCTCTCTCCTTCTCCCTCTCTCCCCCCCCTTATATCTTCTAGTCCCCTCCCTTCTCTTTCTCCCTCCCCCCTTCACTTTCTCCCTCCCCCCCCCCCTTTCTCTTTTCTCCCATTCCCCCCTTCTCTTTCTCCCTCTCCCCCCTATTTTCCCCCCCCCCTCTTTCTCACCCCATCCCTTCTTTTTCCCTCTCCCCCCCTTCTCTTTCTCCCCCTCCCCCCTTCTCTTTCTCCCTCTCCCCCCTTCTTTCTTTCTCCATCTCTCCCCCCTACTTTCCCCCCTCTTATCTTTCTCCCCCCCCCATCTCTTTCTCCCCCCCTTCTCTTTCTCCCCCCCCCCTTCACTTTCTACCTTCTTCCCCCCTCTTCTCTTTCTCCCATTCCCCCCCTTCTCTTTCTCCCTCTCCCCCCTATTTACCCCCCCCCCCCTTATCTTTCTCACCCCATCCCTTCTCTTTCTCCCTCCCCCCTTCTCTTTCTCCCTCTCCCCCCCCTTCTCTTTCTCCCTCCCCCCATTCTCTTTCTCCCTCTCCCCCCTACTCCCCCCCCCCTTCTCTTTCTCCCCCCTTCTCTTTCTCCCCTCTCCCCTCCCTTCTCTTTCTCCCTCTCCCCTCTCTTTCTCCCTCTTCCCCCCCTTCCCTTTCTTCCTCCCTCTTCCCCCCTTCTCTTTCTCCCTCTCCTCCCCTTCTCTTTCTCCCTCTTCCCTCCTTCTCTTTCTCCCTCTCCCTCCCCTTCTCTTTCTCCCTCTCTCCCCTCCCTTCTCTTTCTCCCTCTCCCCCCCTTCCCTTTTCCCCTTCTTCTTTCTCCCTCCCCCCCCCTTCTCTTTCTCCCTCTCCCTCCTTCTCTTTCTCCCTTCTCCCCCCTTCTCTTTCTCCCTCTCCCCCTTCTTCCCCCCCCTTCTCTTTCTCCCTCTCCCCTCCCTCTCTTTCCCTCCCCCCTTCTCTTTCCCCCTCCCCCCTTCTCTTTTCCTTCCCCCCCCCCCCACTTCTCTTTCTCCCTCTTTCTCTCCCTCTCCTTTCTCCCCTCCTTTTTCCCTCTCTCTCTCATACCCTCCCTCATTTTTGTGTTCTTTTTGTTTAATTTATATTTGACTTCATACTATTTCTCTGCTTTCGTCTCATTTGGTTTTTTCTCTCTCTCCATCCCTTTGATTCCCTCTCACTTTCTCTGTCTCCAGCTATACCTCCCCCCCCCCCCCCCCCCCCCCCCCCCCCACCTCCCCCCTTTATCCTGTCTCTCAAGAATCTCTTCTATCTTCTTTTATTATTATTATTAATATTATTATTATTATTATACAGGATTTATGGCGCCAACAGTTTGCTCAGCACTTTACAATATAACAGGAGACAATACAGCAACAATACAGTTCAATAGGAGGCCCTGCTTGGAGCTTACTCCATCTCTTTTCCTTTTTCTGTATACACCCCACTTCTATTTTTCTCCTTCTCTCTGTCATTCTCCCTCTCTTCCCCTCCTTTCTCTTTCTCCTTTTCTTGTCCTCTCTCCTAATCCTCCTTTTTCCGTAATCTTTTCTCCCTTTTCCTCTCTTCCATTCTCTCTTTATTCCTCTCTCTCTCTCTCTAGCTATCTTTCCCCCCCTTTTCCCGATTCCTCCCAGTCTCCCTTTCTCTCTTCTCTCTGTTCTCTCTCTCTTTCATCTCTTTTCTTTTAGATATAAAACATTTGCATAGCTGTCCCTTCCACAAACCTACATGCAAATTTGTTAATTGCAAATGCGGTAAAATCAGATGTTCTCAGGCTGTTGTTGGCATTCTAATCACTAGAGGGTGCTGACTATCATGGGAAATAAGGAAGCTCCACGGCTCCATCTAATGGCCATAATGTGGTATTCACGCATACACACTTTGAAGTTGCAGAGAATATAGCCTCAGAACATTCGATTTTGCTCCATTTTTACAATACGAACATGTATGCATTTGGGATGGAGGAACAGCAATGCAATTTTTTTAATAAATATGTGTTATTTTCCTATATACCAGGAATAATATAAAGGAAGATAGGTAGTCTGGGAGCATTGTCAGGGTAAGGGGTAATATAAAGAAGAATGAGGGGTGCGTCCAGGGGCATTATCAGGGTAAGGAAAGACATAAAGGAAGAAAGGGGGTGAGTCCAGGGACATTATTAGGGTAAGGGGTAATATAAGGAAGGATGAGGGTGAGTCCAGGGACATTATCAGGGTAAGGAAAGACATAAAGGAGGAAAGGGGTGTGAGTCCAGGGACATTATTAGGGTAAGGGGTAATATAAGGAAGGATGAGGGTGAGTCCAGGGACATTATTAGTGTAAGGGGGTAATATAAGGAAGGATGAGGGTGAGTCCAGGGACATTATCAGGGTAAGGAAAGACATAAAGGAGGAAAGGGGGTGAGTCCAGGGACATTATTAGGGTAAGGGGTAATATAAGGAAGGATGAGGGTGAGTCCAGGGACATTATCAGGGCTCAGGGATAATACAAAGGAGGATGGGGGGGGGGGGTGAATCCAGGAACATTATCAGGGTAAGAGATAATACAAAGGAGGATGGGCGGGGGGGTGAGTCCAGGGACATTATTAGGGTAAGGGGTAATATAAGGAAGGATGAGGGTGAGTCCAGGGACATTATCAGGGTAAGGAGTAATATATGGAAGGAAGAGGGGTGAGTCCAGGGACATTTTCAGGGTAAGGAAAAACATAAAGGAGGATGGGCGGTGAGTCCAGGGAAATTATCAGGGGTAAGGGATAGTATAAAGGAGGGTGGGGGGCGAGTCTGGAGACATCAGGGGTTAGAATTAATATAAAGGCGGATGGGGTTGGGTCCAGGGACATTATCAGGGTTCAGGGATAATATAAAGGAGGATGGGGGGGGTGAGTCCAGGGACATTATCAGGGGTCAAGGATAATATAAAGGAGGATGGGGGGGTGAGTCCAGGGACATTATCAGGGGTCAAGGATAATATAAAGGAGGATGGGGGGTGAGTCAATGAACATTATCAGGGTAAGGAGTAATATATGGAAAGAAGAGGGGTGTGTCCAGGGACATTTTAGGGTAAGGAAAAACATAAAGGAGAATAGGGGTGAGTCTGGGAACATTATCAGGGGTAAGGGATGATAGAAAAGAAGATGTCCAGAGACATCATCGGGGTAAGGGATAGTAAAAAGGAGGGAGGGGGGTGAGTCCATGGACATTATCAGGGGTTAGGGGTAATATAAAGGAGGGTGGGGGATGAGTCCAGGGATATTATCAGGGGTTAGGGGTAATATAAAGGGGGGGGAGTCCAGGGATATTATCAGGGGTTAGGGGTAATATAAAGGAGGGTGGGCAGTGAGTCCAGGGACATTATCAGGGTTAAGGGATAGTATAAAGGAGGGTGGGGGGCGAGTCTGGAGACATCAGGGGTTAGAGGTAACATAAAGGTGGATGGGGTTGAGTCCAGGGACATTATCAGGGTTCAGGGACAATATAAAGGAGGATGGGGGGGGGGGGGGGGGGGGTGAGTCAATGAACATTATCAGGGTAAGGAGTAATATATGGAAAGAAGAGGGGGTGAGTCCAGGGACATTTTCAGGGTAAGGAAAAACATAAAGGAGGGTGGGGGGTGAGTCTGGGAACATTATCTGGCGTAAGGGATAATAGAAAGGAGGGAGGGGAGTGAGTCCATGGACATTATCAGGGGTTAGGGGTAATATAAAGGAGGGTGGGGGGGGAGTCCAGGGATATTATCAGGGGTTAGGGGTAATATAAAGGAGGGTGGGGGGGGGAGTCCAGGGATATTATCAGGGGTTAGGGGTAATATAAAGGAGGGTGGGCAGTGAGTCCAGGGATATTATCAGGGTTAGGCATAGTATAAAGGAGGGTGGGGGTGAGTCCAAGGACATTATCAGGGTTAGGGGCATAGTATAAAGGAGGGTGGGGGTGAATCCAGGGACATTATCAGGGGTTAGGGGTAATATAAAGGAGGGTGGGGGTGTGATCCAGGGACATTATCAGGGGTTAGGGGTAATATAAAGGAGGATGGGGGGGGTGAGTCCACAGACATTTTCAGGGGTTAGGGGTAATATAAAGGAGGGTGGGGGGAGTCCAGAGACATTATCAGGGGTTAGGGGTAATATAAAGGAGGGTGGGGGGTGACTCCAGGGACATTATCAGAAGTTAGGGGTAATATAAAGGAGGGTGGGGGTGAGTCCAGAGACATTATCAGGGGTTAGGGGTAATATAAAGGAGGGTGGGGGGTGAGTCCAGGGACATTATCAGGGGTTAGGGGTAATATAAAGGAGGATGATGGGGGGTGAGTCCAGGGACATTTTCAGGGGTTAGGGGTAATATAAAGGAGGATAATGGGGGTGAGTCCAGAGACATTATCAGGGGTTAGGGGTAATATAAAGGAGGATGATGGGGGTGTGAGTCCAGAGACATTATCGGGTTAGGGGTAATATAAAGGAGGAGGATGTGGGTGAGTCCAGGGACATTTTCAGGGGTTAGGGTAATATAAAGGAGGATGGGGGGGTGAATCCAGGGACATTATCAGGGGTTAGGGGTAATATAAAGGAGGAGGATGGGGGGGGTGAGTCCAGGGACATCATCAGGGGTTAGGGGTAATATAAATGAGGGTGGAGGGTTGAGTCCAGGGGATTCCTCTTTCCCTCAGTCTCTCTTTCCTGCTTTTTTCCACTCAATCTAAGTGTCCTTTACCCTCCTCCTCGCTCTCTCCATCTATAGTCCAATCTCTCTCTCTCTTTCCTCTCCCTCTCTCTCTGACTCTTCCTTTTTTCTATATCATCTCTCCTTCTTTCTATCTCTCAGCTTTCTGATATGGTCCCCTCTCTTCTTCTCTCTTCTTCTCCCCCATCAGTCCCTGCCTCCCTCCATCCTTCCTCCTCTCTCCCAGGGTATCCCCCAGGTGATAATGACACTTACTTCTCTCCTGCTTGAGTCCCTGGGTCTGGTCCTCTGTCTCAGCTGGTCCCTCTGTACGGTTCTCTCCTCTGTCCCCTTCTCTACTCCCCTTTTCTTCCCCTCATTTTTGTCTTTTATCCAGTCTTTCTGGATTAAAGGCCGCACCCAAAGACGTAAAATATTTTGAGCAGCTGGGCAGCTGTTTGGCCCTCACACAACGTCTGCTCATGCTCATTATGATATGTCACAATATATAGGGAAACAATATCTCAGTGTACATTGAACTGTGACACCTGCAGGATATGAGCGATCATCCAGCACATCAGAGAACCAGAGGATGAGGACAGCGGAGGCTGCACAGTACGGTGTGGTCATTAATTCAGATGTATTGCAACTCAGATTCACTCATACACAATGATGGTCTTCATGGATGGAATTCAACTGCTTTCCAACTAGCAAATTATATGTCAGTTCATGCAGTTCTCTGAGATCTGGGTTAAGCTGACCCACTAAAAGATCTTTTTGATAAATATTGGCAAAATAATTGTTTTTTCAGCTTCACAAAACTTCAAATTACTTTACATCAAATTGTGGCCAGTGTTTTCTATTTTTTTTCCCTTAAATCTGGGAATGATGTCATGTGAGTTGTTTTGACATCTCATGCCGCACCTATTTTTTAGAAATCCGCCAATCCAAAGAGAGGATTTCTGCATGCTAAGTTGCCAGATGTTTTCTGCTTTTACTTCAGAAGCTTCACCCACCCGCAACATGGCAACCTATGACATGCAATCCCAACCATTTCTTACATTCCTATTGTTTCAGAACTCCGAGCTGACTTGTAATATAAACTGCTCTACTGGATTCAGCTATATTTGTGACTAACTACTACTACATATACTGTGAATTGGACAAATGAGAACCTTCACAGGCATGGTCTACTAATGGTCTACTGATGGTCATGGTCTACATGGTCTACTGATGGTCATGGTCTACATGGTCTTCACAGGCATGGTCTACTGATGGTCTACTGATGGTCATGGTCTACATGGTCTTCACAGGCATGGTCTACTGATGGTCTACTGATGGTCATGGTCTACATGGTCTTTGAAGGCATGGTCTACTCCTCTCCTCTACTTTATGTGTTAGTCAGCTTAGCAAAAGTCAGTAAACCTAAAAGTTAAATAATGAGAAAAAATATTAATGATATCTTTAACTAAGGGGCTGTCTTATAAAGATGGAAATTGTGTTTTTTTTTTTTTGTTTCAAGAGAAATACCTGGATCTTACATAGGTACATAGTTAGTCTGGCTGAAAAAAGACAAAAGTCCATCCAGTTCAACCGTTAAAAAAGAAAAAATGTATAGTCCTACACCCACAGTTGATCCAGAGGAAGGCAAAAAGCAGCAGCAAAGCAGGATCTAACTTGTTCCTGCAGGGGAAAAAAAATCCTTCTTGATCCCCCAAGAGGCAGTTGGATATTTCCTGGATCAACTTTACCTATAAATGTTAGTATCCAGTTATATTCTGTGTATCCAAGAAACAATCCAGGCCTTTTTTAAAGCAATCCACTGAGCTGGCCAGAACCAACTCTTGAGGGACTCTATTACACATTTTCACAGCTCTCATTGTGAAGAAACCTTTCCGTGTTTGGAGCTTAATTTTCTTTTCTTCCAGAGAGTGCCCCCTTGTCCTCTGTGATGACCTCAGAGTGAATAACTCTACACCGAGCTCACTATATGAACCACTGATGTATTTATACATGTTGATCATATTGCCCCTTAATCTCCTCTTCTCAGGAGGATCTTCTCTTGGATCCTACACGAGGGTTAGGATTGGTGTTAGCTAGCTAAGCTTGCAAAAGTTGCCTAAAAAAACACAACGATGCTCATGCCGAAGGTGCAGGATTCTGATATATCAGACCATAGACCCAGCATGCTACAATAGAAACTGCCAAAGGAGTGCTCCTTGGAATGGCCTCTCTAGTGGAAACCAGTAACTAGATACATTGAAGTGGAGCACCAGTCATCAGTCTTGTTTATGGTTATTCCTAACTATGGGTTTTGTTTTTAAAGGTGGAAAATAATATTCTGCAGTGGTCTCCAAAAGAAATATTTGGATCCTTGATGAGGGTTAGGATAGGTATAAGTTAGCTAGACTGGCAGAGGTTGCTCAGAATAGCAAAAAGTATGAAGATAGGTTCTAGCCAAAGCTGCAGGATTTGGAAGTACCAGACCATAGTCCCCTTGAGGTTTTGTCATCCTACCGCAGAAACTGCCAAGGAGTGCTCCTCGGAATGGCGTATCTAGTGGAAACTGGTAACTAGACACAATGTAGTGGAGTACCAGCCATTAGTCATGTGTATTGTTGTCCTTAAAGCAGAACTCCAGTCAATGATTTTGTTTTACCATGCAGTTGTGCTGTGCCCCCCACTACATGGATTAGCTCCTCATTTTTTCTAGGGGTGAGGACTAAGCTCATACTCATCTGACCCACCGATCCCACAGAAAACTGCGCTTCTCCACAGTCCAGCGTTGGACTGTTCCTGTCTATGGAGCATGCATTGAGCGTGCTGATGTCAAGAATAGTCCATTTACAAGGCTGCTGGACCACAGAAGGGCATGAGCCGAAAGGACCGGTCTTGTGCGGGAAGGATCTCTGGGTCAGGTGAGTATATCTTCAGTGTCCTCTCCCCTAGAATGGAATGAGCATTTTACCCGTGCAATGTGAGCACAATGCCACTGCACGGGCAAAAAAAAAAAATTCCTGGAATTCTGATTTAACTAATGGACTGTCTTATAAAGGTGGAAAATAATATTCTGCAGTGGTTTCCAGGAGAAATATTTGGATCCTAGATGAGGGTTAGGATCTCGCTGGCAGAAATTGCTCAAAAGTGCAAGAAGGAGGAAGATAGGATCTCACAAAAAGGCACAGGATTTGGAAGTCCTCTTGAAAAGTTGGTATCCTACTGTAGAAACAGCCATAGAGTGCTCCTTGGAATGGTCTTTCTAGTGAAAAAAAGGAACTAGATACACTGAAGTGAAGAATCAGTCATTTGCTATATCCCAGATTGTCTTTAACTAAAGCACTGTCTTGAGATGGTGGAAATAGTTATTCTTTAGTGGTTTCCAAGAGAAATGTTTGAATCCTGGATTCTAGATGAGGGTTAGGTTAGGTTTAAACTAGCTAGGCTGGCACTGGTTGCTTAGAATCAGCATCATTACTATTATTATTATACAGGATTTTATGGCGCCAACAGTTTGCTCAGCGCTTTACAGTATAACGGGAGACAATACAGCAACAATACAGTTCAATACAAGAGGGACAGGAGGGCCCTGCTCTTTGGAGCTTACAATCTAAGAGAGAGGGGCTAGTGGTACAAAAGGTAATAAGGATGAACTGATGATAGAAATAGAAGATTCGGTTATCGGCTGAAGGCAGAATAGGCTTCCCTGAAGAGATTGCATAAAAGTTGGCAGAGTAGGCGATAGTTGGATAGGATTAGGGTAGAGAGTTCCAGAGGATGGGGGAGGCTCTGGAGAAGTCCTGGAGATGACCATGGGAGAAGGAGACAAGGAAGCTAGAGAGCAGGAGGTCGTGAAAGGAACGGAGAGGACGGTTTGGGTGATATTTGGAGACAGGATTGGTGATGTAATTGGGGACAGAGTTATAAATGGCTTTATACGTTATTGTTAATGTTTTGAATTTTATTTGTTGGGCAATGGGAAGCCAGTGGAGGGATTGGCAGAGAGGGATGGAGGACACTGAGTGGAGGCCAGTGGAGGGATTGGCAGAGAGGGATGGAGGACAGTGAGTGGAGGCCAGTGGAGGGATTGGCAGAGAGGGATGGAGGACACTGAGTGGAGGCCAGTGGAGAGATTGGCAGAGAGGGATGGAGGACACTGAGTGGAGGCCAATGGAGGGATTGGCAGAGAGGGATGGAGGACACTGAGTGGAGGCCAGTGGAGGGATTGGCAGAGAGGGATGGAGGACACTGACTGGAGGCCAGTGGAGGGATTGGCAGGGAGGGATGGAGGACACTGAGTGGAGGCCAATGGAGGGATTGGCAGAGAGGGGTGGAGGACACTGAGTGGAGGCCAGTGGAGAGATTGGCAGAGAGGGGTGGAGGACACTGAGTGGAGGCCAGTGGTGGGATTGGCAGGGAGGGATGGAGGACACTGAGTGGAGGCCAGTGGAGGGATTGGCAGGGAGGGATGGAGGACACTGAGTGGAGGCCAGTGGAGGGATTGCCAGGGAGGGATGGAGGACACTGAGTGGAGGCCAGTGGAGGGATTGGCAGGGAGGGATGGAGTACACTGAGTGGAGGCCAGTGGAGGGATTGGCAGGGAGAGATGGCAGATATGGAACGGTTGGTAAGGAGGATGAGTCTGGTAGCAGCATTTGGCAGTAACGGGCTAAAGCCCCACATTATTATTATTATTATTATACAGAATTTATAAAGCGCCGCCGATAGTTCGCTCAGCGCTGTACATTACAAAGGGGGACAGAACATGTGACAGAACAATACCAATACAATGCAAAACATGAGGGGATCGAGGGCCCTGCTCTTTCCAGCTTACAATCTAGGAGGGAGGGTATTCTACAGTAGAAGGAAGTCTACAGTAGAAACTGCCAAGGACTGCTCCTTGGAATGACCTCTCTAGTGGAAACCAGTAACTAGATTCAGTGAAGTGGAGTACCTGTCATTAGCTATGACCATGGTTGAGGTCAGACCAAATGGTTGAGGTTGAGGTCAGACCAAATGTCATATCCAGCTAGGTGGAGCACCAAAGGATGAGAAGGAATCAAAGTCAAGAGAGAGTAGACAATGGTTACTGCTGGGGGGGCCACCTCAGCCAACCAGAAACACCAGGCCAAGAAGAAAAGTTGCGGTTGAGGCTTAGAGGGGACACAGTGGATCTGCACTCGCTAAGGACTAACGTTAGAAAGGGAGCCGTTGGGCATGTGAAATCAAAGTAAAAGCAGATCTAACTTCAGAAGTGACGAGCACGTGCACAATTAGCTCTCTGTAACCCGTGACGGCTCTTGTTATACTGACAACACTAGACACACCAAACTCAACTACTGCTAGGAAACACCACTT